TTTAATTCCGAACACCAATATATAGTAAAGTCTTACAATTATATATTGCCCCTCAAAGCAAACATGTAAATTAAAAATTGAAAAAACTACTTATTGAAAAGATCGTACAAGTATATCGTTCAATTATTGCTCGATCCATGAGTCATTTCTAAGTTCGTTATTTTTTCAAATTTTATATCTTTGGACCCATCATGACATTACCGCATTATGTGGTCTTCTGTGCCCCCCTTTTACCATATCTTTAGTGCAGGTTTTAAGAATCTTTAAATTTTCGTCATAATGTACACCAAACTGACTTGCAGGAAATGAACAATTAAGCATAGCTTACCTTATCAAACTAACTAAACCTCCTTACTCTGACGAACATTAACTGAGAAACCCTTTTCAAATGGTGTTATTCATGAGCAGAAGCTTCCAAATGACTTCTCAGACAGACATGGTGGTCCCATTCCACCTGCAACAGTTTCCATTTCCATGTGAACATAAATTTTATTTATTTGGTAACAAATCAATCAAACCGCCTAATGAGCTTCGCTGATCAAACAAACGCATAAACATAATGAAAACAAAATGCGTAAAAGCGGCGACCCCAAAAGGTTTTAATTGACGGGATTAGTTTGAGTTGAAGCCACAACTGTATAGGCACAAGATTTGGCAGTCAAATCGAGTTCACACGCCAGTACGAGTATATACGAGTATAGATAAGGGGCATTGTCAATGAACTGGCTCCTTGGTCGGGTTCAGCCAACCCGTCGACTTAGCCAAACTAATGAAAGCGATGGCGACAGACGCACATTACCATTCAGCAGATGACACTTTTTTGGTAAATTTTCTTACAGCAGCAAAAACAATTACCACCAGCAGGAGAAAAGGAAAAGCAGGCGAGGCGAGTGAGCGTGAGAGGAGCAGAAACCTCCAAAAAGTCAAGGAACTCAAGGGAGCGCACAAAATTATGTGTAAACAGAGCGCAAGCAGTTGGCTGACTGGCTGCAGGAAAATGCCAGGATTGGGGCGATGGGGAAAGAGGGTGGAGGGAGGAGGGGTGAATGGAAATTGAGGAGCTGACTGACTTTTGCTTTTTCTGGCCGCTTGGTATGCCAACGCCCTCAAATGCTGTTTGTGTGTGCGAATAAGGCTAGAGCTGAAGCTGGAGCTGGAGCTGGTGCTGGTGCTGGTCTTGTAGTTTCTTTGCTCATACTATTCAGTTTAGAGTGGGGGGTGAAAGGAATTCTGTGAATGAATTAAGATAAACGAGTAAGAGCGACAAAGAGAGCGGCGCGTTTGCTGTCGGCGTAAAACTTTGCGACTCTGTTAAGTAACAGGCGCGCAGAGAGAGCGCACATATTTTGTTTTTGTTGATTTTTTGTTTTGTTTGCCTTGCCTGCCACCAGCCCAGCCAAGGGGGCCCGACCGACCACCTCCAAGCGAGGCACCCACAAAACACCCCCGATATGCGTGTCGTCGTTGTCGCTATCGTCGTCGTCGTCGTCGTCTGGGTCGAGTCTTCGACTGCCGTTTGTTGTCGTTGCTATTTTTAGGGGGCTTTTCCAACAACGTCTGTTGCTCACATCACTCCCGACCCATCCCATGGCTTTCCTTTCCTGTCCTTGCCGTCTCAGCATCTCTGTTCGTCTCATCTCAGTTTGCTGCGTAACTTTGGCGGTTTCTCAACAACAACAACAACAACAACAACATCAACAACAATAGGCAACAATCCAAAACACCAATCGCCTTTTTATTGCTTGTCTGCATATTTCCGTTTTTATTACAACTCCTCTGGATTCTATTCCAGCATTCATTTCAATAAATTAACAAAGCACCACTAAATTGTGGAAAAAGATAATTAAGCGCCAAAGATGTTGAAGAGCTGATGTTCATGATGTTTGTTGTTGCTGCTGGGACCACCATTTGATCTCAGCTTCAGCTTTCATCTCAATCGTCTTCAACTTGGAAATAATACTCCCCAAAATAAATGTACAAGTATAGTAATTATTTATGTGAGTGCATATTGTGGCAAGAATGTCGATAATTTCCTAGAAATGCGCTTTTTGTGCTCTCGCCAGAAATATGGAATTCAAAAAGCTCAATGTTGAATAGAAATTGACATAAATTAAAGATATATGGCATCGATTTTTCACCTACAATTCATAATACATTCGTATGGAATGCCACTTCCTATTTGATTTTAATTTCTCGCTTTTTTTTTTCAAATATCTAAATTTGTACTTTCTTAAATAATTGACTAAATAAATAATTTATCCATTTTAATTAGCCATGTTGCTTTCATAAGATTTTAATATAAACCTAGGATTTTGTGTTTAGTGCAAGAGGCTTTGTTTAGTAAATTCTATTTCAGACCTATTCCATTTACAATTAAATTAAATTCCTTTTTTGTATTAGGGGGGGAGGTGGTCTCTCTTTCTTTCTCTCTCTCTCTCTCTTTTCAAAATAACCTTCAGCATTTAATAAATAAATCATAAAATTCTGCAAAAAAAGTTTAATAGTTCTTTAAATTGTTCATGCTTTCTTGACTATAATTGCGGACTCATACAATATTTTTTATTTCGAACATCTCATTGCGACTTTTTTAAGTAATAAATGAATAAAGATAAAAATAACTTTATCAATTGTTAAATTCTACACACTTGTCATTTATATATTTCATATTTTTCATATCAATCATCATATCATTTTTATATTGCCATAAAAGAATAATGTTTTACAGCCCTTTACAACCAGAACACTTTCAATTGGCCAATCTAAATAGCCTTAAAAGTAATCGAATGGGTTTTTTTTTTACTATCGAACGATAGCTGGTCATTTAGTATGTATTTAAGCAAATAGGTTCCGACTATCAGTAACAAACTTGTTTGATATTTTGGGGATGCTAAACCTGTAACTATTACTTCGATCTCATCTAATTCGGCCATATATTTTTTTTTTTTTTGACGTATTTCTTGATGTTTTCAGAGAGTACATGATTAGCTTTCTGATTTCAAACGTGGAAATCATCTAATTGCGATCTTTAAAGGTAATCTTGTAAAAAATGTTTACAATTAAAAATTCAATTTACAATTTAAGTTAGTTAATTGTGTATTAATAGGGAATACTAGTATTTTCCATATGATTTAAAAAATAACTTGGATATCAATAGCAGAATTCTAGACATTTCATCATACAAAATTAATAATATATTCGTATTATTATAATATCACTCACCCCATGCCGTTTATATCATTATAAAAGAAGGCATTTATTCGAAAACTACCAAAACTAAATTTTTAATTAATTTTTTTTAAATTAAATTAAATTTTTCATATCTCGATTTTCCTTTGCTGACTAAACAATTTGCGGACTGGCGGAATACTTTTCTCCACAATTTTTTTTTTTCAGTTCGTCTTTATTTCTATTGAAATTATAATTTGTTTTGCTTCTTTTAAATCTCTATTTTCTTTCGAATTGAGCAATCAAATGTGCGCAAATAATGCACATATTTACAATAAATCTGAATCAAAGGCACATTAGTTGTGATTATAGAACAATCCTACAGATATAGCTTCAAGTACTCGGGCCCACATGGCATTGACAAATTTATATTTGTGCGGCCGACTGTGTGTGCTTTGTGTTGTGTTTTGCAATAATTTTTGCCAATTGTTAATAATTTTGTTGCTTGTTTTTTGTTGTTGTTATTGTTATTTCTTAGTGCGACTGCGTGCATTGCAATGCAATTTCGTTTATTTGTTTGCACATTCATTTGTTTGTTAGTTTTTGCGCAATTTCGTCATTAAATAAAAATTATTTTTCTTATTTTTTTCCCCATTTTTTTTGTTCAAGTCGCTGACGCACTTAATGCAAATGTGGCCCTCAATCGTGTGTGTAAGTGTGTGTGTTTTGATAAATGTCTTTCGCAGAAATAGAAAACCAACAGAACAATAACAACAACAACAATAACAATCATGTAAACCATTTTGCCATTTTGTTGCCTAATCTGAATTGTGATGGGAAATTTGTTGGAAAAACTCGCAAATAAGCAGTCGTTTATGCATTTCAAAGTCCCCATCGGGTGTCGCGAGTTAAATGCTAAATTGTTATGTATTTGTGTGCATTCGGAATAAATAGTACTTTAGTATACTCTATATACTCAAATATATATATGCATACTTACATAAAAGTAAATACATATGTATGTTTGTATTGATTAGCGTATTATGCTAAATCACGCCAAGGAGCGCGCCCTTTGCAAATAATTCGAAAAACAGAAACACTCATGTTTCTAAACAGCATTTAATCAAAACAGCATTCCTCAAAACACACACTAGAAAATCAATCAAGATTGGTGATTCAAAAATTGAAAAAAAAAGTATATATGTATGGCAAATAATTAAATAAATTGTTCAAAAGTTGAAACCATATAGTTGCGTTAGGCATCAGCTAATATCCCGAAAAATGGAACTCATTTTGAAATTTAAAATATTTCCAAATACAGAGGTGTAATCGCCCTTTGAACTTTCAGCATCCTTTTTTTTGATTTCCGTTTTTTAGAAATTTTCTAAGCTCATTACAATCGTTTTATAATGTTTTTTTTTTAAACTCAGCTGAAAAGTTCCCTTCTCCAAAGTAGATCGATTTTTCAGATACTAAATGTCATGCAAATATATAAAAACTGAACACGTAGAACGAGGTCGTTCGTTTTGAGATAGATATGAACGTTGATTATGATTGAGCGAATGAATTTGTTACTTAATGTCCTCCTCGACTACTTTTACGTTTCAGAATCAAGTAACTAGTAAAGTATGTTAAACCTCATTACTTTTTGTATACTCCTGACTGGAAAGTGTACGATGTTTACGTTTTGCAACACCCATTATTTGATTGGTTTTAATTCCTAATATTCTATTGCATTAAACACACATTATGGGCTTCTCTTTGTACGGTCGACAGAAGGTCCTCCCTTGATTTCTTTTTTTGAAATGCAGTAAGAATTCGGAGTTCGTACTCACCCTTTCCTCTTCGCGAATCATCTCTGCAATTTCCGGTTTAATTTCCATGTCATCATGATGGGGCACAGGCGGGCCTCCGGTGGAGGGACTGCTGTCCGAAGTCGACCCTGTCGCAGCGGCGACCAACGAGGCGCCGAGGGCGCTGGCCATGGCCGCATGTGAGTGGGCAGCGGCATGCAGCTGTTGCTGATGATGAGCTGCGGCTAGTTGTTGGGCAGCGGCTGCTGCCGCCGCTTGGTGGTGCATGGCTGCCGAGGGCGGAGGAGGCGGTGGTTGATGCTGGCCATGATGGGCGGCAGCCACTGCGGCTGCCATGTTGGCATGACTCGCTGAAGTGGCGGCCGTGGGGGACTGGAGAGCGGCCATTGAAGCGCTGTTCTGCGCCGTGGAGGGGGGCGGGGATCTGTAGGTGCTGCCGGCCGACGAAGAAGATGTCGCAGCGGAGGCTGAGGCCGCGGCGGAGGATGAAGAGCCGCCGGCCGTGGAGTTGCCCGAACTGCTCGACGCTGAGGACAAACTGCCGGAGACATTTGTGATGACCAGCGATTGTGGATTGGGGGAGGCAAAGGGATTGCGCACAATGGTGGAGGTGGTCATGGCCAGTGGCTGGGATTGGGACTGCGATTGCTGGCTGGGTGTGGAGCCGGAGCCTCCACCAGGACGTGTGTTGTTGTGGGGTGAGTCTGGGACTGAACTCTGTTCATTGTTGGATCCTGTCTGGTTGTAATCTAGGAGCTGGCCATCGCGGGAACGCTTGCGTTGACGCTGATTGAGATCCAGGGCGACTGCAGCGGCTGCTACGGAGTCGTTCTGTAGTCTGGCCAGCAAACGAGCGCGTTTCGGTTTCAACAGACCGCCCTCGACATCATCATCCCCATCTCCATCCCCATCCAGATCATCCGCATTGGAGCGCAGCAGCGCGTTGGCTGTCAACTCGTCCTCCTCCTCCTCAGCATCCTCGTCGTAGATGGTCATGCGCTGCTCGGGCAGCATGGAATGCGCTGGGGCGGCGGCGGCGGCGGCGTTAGTGGCTGGGTTGTTGGCACCGGCACTGACCTCGGCAAGGCCGCGAATTTTCAATGTTTCGGCGACCTTGAGCAGCGGATTGATTTGGTCCTGGCACACATTTATCTCGCCCTTGTACATGAACTCCACCAGCGCCTTAAGGTCGAACCAACTGACGTCGCGCATTATGATGATGGGGTGCTGGCAGGGATTCTCGTAGAAGAGCGCCTGAAAGTAGGGGGAGCAGGCGGAGAGCACCATTTTGTGGGCCTTAATCGAGTGTCCCTCGCAGGCAAGCGTCACATCCACAAAGGACTCGTTTTGAAGCAGTTCGTCAAAGACGTTGGTCAGGTTCGACTGATAGTTGTTCCAGCGCAGACAGAACTGCTGACTGTTGCCCGCCTCGTTGCCGATGTGGCTCCCCCGATGCAGTTTTCGCTGACCCAATGCCGTCGGCCGTATGGGTTTGGGGCTCTGCTTTGACTTCGGCTCTGTGGCGGCCGCTGCGCTCGGATGGAACTCGAAGTGTGCTCTCTCCGCCAGACTGTGTGAGACGGCGAGTGGCTGTGGGGAGACGGGCAAGGAACGCGACTTCTTTCCAATATGGGCCACACGCAGTTCCGGCTCAATGGGCTCGCTTAGACCCACCACCTCGCTGGATGTGAAGGGTCGGGGGGGCGGCGTCAGCAACTCACTTATCCTACTCGGCGATAAGCTATCTTTGTCTGGCACCAGACTGCTCGCCATATCGGCTGCTGGCGTTAGGGGCGAGTCTGCCATCTCCGCACTCTCCTTCTCCGGGTCTCGCGCTGTATCTGTTAATAGACGTGTTGACAACTCTTTTATTGTCGTTGCTGTTGCTGTTGCTGTTGTTGTGTCTTGACCTTCCTCTAGATCTGTTTTGCCATCCTCAGTGGCTGTGGCTCCGTCCGTGTTGGCCTCCATTGTATCGTAGTACGGCTTGTTATCCAACTTCTGCTCATAGTCAATTATTTCCTTTGTCATATCCATTTTATTGACTCTCTGCTTAGCGATACTTGTATCGAGGTGTGCTCTATTGGGCTTATTGTTTTGGGGTCCGCAGCATGTTCAGCAGAACATTACAGCGATCTGAATTGGTCCCACACTCTCCAACACGATTTGGTCCTGTGCTGCAATGAAATGGATTAAGAGGCTTCTGAATAACAAAGAAGTAATGATTTGCCAAAAGATTTATTATAGCCGTTGCAAATGTACAAGGACTAGATTATTTTTGGACTTGAAATGTGATTTATGTTCGTGCTTTCTTCCCAGAATGTGGCACAAGAAATAAGATTTCCTACAAATGTGTTATCAATATTTGAAGTATTTCCTAATTTCTTGGCTTATCGCAAGTTCTTAAGACATTTGATTTCACGTTGACATGAATTCCGCTGTTCTTTTAATATATGTATAGGCGTGCTATCGATGGGCGAAAACATTAAAGGAAATCTAAATATCACATTAATATAGAAATGAAGCTATAATGTAAAACATTTCTCAGTTCCTCCGATTTATCTGATATACAAGTACTTGCATCAGCAAAAACGATCTTACAAGCGATTGACTGTTGAACAAGAAATCATTTAATGAACTCACTCATTGATTTCTAAATAAGCGAATACCTGATTAATTCAAATAACTTTTTCTAACTGATTTTTATTAATAAATAAATATTAATATTATATATTATTAAATATTCCTATATAATAAAATTTTATTGAAAAATGTACTTTTTCCAAAAGTTTAAGCAGTTTTTCTCAGCATGGAAACCAAAATATTTTAGCTTGTTTAAACAAAGGGTTTATTGTTTTAAAAATAACTTTCCTGTTTCATTGACATGTCATTGAGTTTGAGATCTGGAAAAAGTGACTCAATGAATCGCCATTTAACCGTTTTGAAATAATAATGGCGTCCCTTAAGCAGTTAAGCAGACTGACATATATTTAATGTATGGAGTCAAACAGCAAAGTATTTGTATTATTTATTTCAAATTAATATATAACATATAATAGTTCAACCAAAATTATGACAACTTGAAGAAACTTTATTTAAATCTGGCCATTACTTTTAATGCAGATAATATGAAAAAATTTGTCTTTAAGCACTTACTTGTAAGCAGCTTTTCTTATATTTGATTAATGGAGTTGAAACTGATCTTCAAACAACGAACTACTGGGAATATTTTTTGCATCTTGAGATGAGAATCTTTTTGAAACCATGAACAAATATTTAGGTTATTTCTGGCTACGAAAAAGTTTCCAGCTTCAAAAAAGATTTCAGCAGTTAAGCAGTTCATTATTTTATTGATTTATATTTAATTGATGAGTAAAAAAACTGATCTTGAAGACTCGCATGAATTTCTATAAATATTCATTTATAATTCATTTTATTGAAAATAATTTATTGAGCTCAAATGTTGTGCACATTTTTTTTCGAATTTTTTCGCTTGCTCTTCATAAATGAATGTACATATATTTATAATAAATATTATTATTTATTCAATGACTGAGGCCGGGCTGTGGACTGGGATTGAAAAGTGGAGACTGGGGACTGGAGACTGGCGTGTGAGTAATTATATTTATTTAAATATTTTGCGTTTATTTTAACGTTTTTTCTCCTCTTTTTTTATGATTATTATTTATTTGTGCACGCGCGTGCACACACACATTTACACACTCACACACACACACACACACACACACACACACACACACACGGAGACAATGCAAACACATGCAGCCATAAAATTTAATTATATTTATTATTATTGTTTTTCTTCTTCTGCTTGCTGTTGTTATTCTTTTTTTATGTTTATTATTATTTCATTCCAATTAAATCTTGTGACTGACTGAGTTGAAGCTCGCTGCCGCCTTCGTTGCTGCTGTTGTTGTTGTAGCTGTTATTAGTTTTGTTTATTTTATTGTTGTTGTTGCTATTGTTGTTATTGTCGGCCAGCGAGACCGCCGCGACTCTGTTGCACAGTCATAGCGACATTGCCACCCCAACTTGTTCTTGAGGGCGACACAAAATAATAAATATATAGATATATGACACACGATATACATATGTATGTGTGTATGTGTGTCTGTCTGTCTCTCTGCCTGTCTGCATATTAGAGCTGGCACAAATATCGATGATAATATCAATGCGATGTATCGTTGTTGTTCCGGAAGAAGCCTCTTCTATTTACAAAACATTCACTGTTTTGAATGAAAAGGAACTCAACTAAAGCTCTGGAGAATGGTGCATGCAGATACATGCATAATAAATAATTCTAGTATTTGATAAAAGCAAATACTGCTGAAGAAACGATTTCAGTTTTATTAATGGATAGTACTGGAAATTGTGTTTCTAAAAGATAATACTGCTGAAGAAACGTTTTCAGTTTTATTAATGGATAGTACTGGAAATTGTGTTTCTAAAAGATAATACTGCTGAAGAAACGTTTTCAGTTTTATTAATGGATAGTACTGGAAATTGTGTTTCTAAAAGATAATACTGCTGAAGAAACGTTTTCAGTTTTATTAATGGATAGTACTGGAAATTGCGTTTCTTAAAGATATCTCTAGATATATAGTATATGTATTACATACTTATATGTGTGCCAGCCACGTCCTCGAATCGAAGTGGAATATTACGTGCCAGAAAATATCAATTCCTTTGAAACTGCTTTCATGATCCTTTCTGCAGAAACTTGCTAATGCAGACTTTATTTATAAATAAATCCAGAAATTTAGGGATCAAAGTGAATGAAGCATTATAAGTAATCAATAATTTGTTATTTTTGTACTCATAAATCCCATTCTAACTTCAAAAGAATGATGTTTCGAATACTTTTCGTTTGACTCCAAATATATTCTGAATATGCAGAAACACTTGTCTAGCACTTTCTTTCTTTCAAAAATGTACTCCAGGTTTTTCAATAAAAAAAAGTCCCGAAAGGGCACAATTTATTTTAATTAACTGATCTTTTTTGAACTTTTCTTGAAATGAGGAAGTTCATTCTTTTTAGTTTTACTGGAAACCATCGTTTATTAAATTTTGAAAACATCGGAAACTTCGCTGTTTTCCCAGCTCTACTGTACTTCTGTCTGTCTGTTTGTAAGAAAAGCATTCGTCGCAAATCGTGCCACAATTTTCGTACATACATATATGTATGTATTTATACTTCTCTCTCTTTCTCTCTCTTCTTATTTTTTGACAACTTTTGCCTTATTTTTATGACTTGTACTTGCTGTTGTTGTTGTTGTTGCCTTTTGTTATTACTTTTATTTATTCATGCGGCGCTGTTTGCTGCCGCTGCCGTTGGGCGCATAAAATTTTATGCTTCTTTGGAAAAAGCGATACAAAAACAAAATAACCATCGACGAAAAATAAATAAATAAATTGCCTAAACACGAATTATCTTAGTTGCTGTGCATGTGTGTGTTTCTCCTTCTCCTGCTCCTCCTCGTACTCGTACTACAAGTATACGACTATGTAGTTCTTCATAGTTCGACAAATGGGCTGCAAATTGTTGGCATTTCCTGTTTGGTTTTTGCGCCTTTTTCTGCTTAAAACATTAAATGCGTCGCCTGCCATTTGCTTCCTTGTATTCATATACATATATATAACTGAATGTATATATAATTTTGCTGATGGTGTTGTTGTTATTATTCTTCATTCTGATTCGCTGTATTATTAATTATTTATAATGCGCGCAGCTGTTGCCCCGCAAACAATAAAAAAAAGGCACAGCAAGATGAAAAAAAAAAAACAAAAAATACATTAAAATAAAAAGCAAGCAACAACAAACACACCCTTCAGCTTCAGCTACAGCTACAGCTACAGCCTGTGCTTCAGCTACAGCTTCAGTTTCGGTTTCGTGGGCCTTCGCTTTCATTTTAATATTTATTATTTTTATTTATTTAGTTTATTTTTCGTGTGCCTTGCGGAAGGGGCAGAGCGGCAAGCAGCAGCAGCAGCAGAAGTTGTGTTGCTGGATTGCTGAAGGCAGGGGTGGGGAGCTGTGAGCTCAGCACCCAGACAATGACGAAGTTTTCCACAACAAACTCATGTTCTTGCTGCTGCTGCTGCTGCTGCCTCCGCTGTTATTGTTGTTGTTGTTCTTTCTGCCACACATACAGATACAGGGAGAGAGAGGGAGAAACATTCAGCGCACATTTATATATATTGTATTTATTTATTTACGCTTATTTATTATTTATGTTGCAAGTAATAAATTACACAAGCCTCGCCATCGCCATCGCCATCGCCAACGTCGTCGTCGTTCTCTGAATCTCTGGTCCGTCCGTCCGTCCGTTCGTCCGTCTGTCTGTCTGTCTGTCCTTTCGTCTGTTCCTTGCTTGGCCTCAGTTTTTGCTTTTTATGGCCTGGCCTGTCTCTGTGGCTGTGTCTGTGCGTCTTCTGCTGGCTTGGCCGTAAACTTTTCGCTGCCACAAAATGTTGGCGCGCCACCCACACACGTTGCCACACACACACACACACACACACACGCACACCTACAGTGGAAGGAACGCGCGCGTAAGTTTTCTTAATTTCTGCGCGCCCAAAACGCCAGCCAGCCACTCCGCCAGCCAGTGAGCATAAAAGACAAGGCGCACTTTTTATGGCCCATCGATGTGTACGGCAAGGGGGGAGGAATGGAGGGGTGGTAGGATTGTGTGGGGGGAGGGGGAGTGTTATAAATTAATAAATTACAATTTCTTCCTCTTGTGCAATTTGTTCTTGTTTCTTGAAAATGGGAGTGGAGTCTAAAGCTTAGCATACACACCATATATACAGACACTATATAAATACACTATATACTCGTACATACATACATATATAAATAAATATGTATTGTATAAAGTAGCTAGTGGTAAGGACAGCACGTACCTGCACACACACACAATTTTGTATTTTATGTTAAGTTTATGAAGAAAATCGATTGTTGTTGTTGCTTTGGCAGCCACAAATTAACGCTTGTTGTTGTAGTTGTTGTTATGTTAATAAGTTATTAAGTTATTATAGAACTGCACTTGTGTAATTTATTTTTCGAGCGGACTCAACCAAGTATGTGTTTCATATAAATTTTGAGCTTGTTGCTGTTGTTATTATTTTCGAACATTTGTTGCCATTTGTTGCTGTTTGTTTGTTTGGTTTTTATTATGTTTCTGTGGTTTGTTGTTATTTTGCGCGCACAAACACACATACATGCACACAGAGAAGCGGGCAGACAAACACAAAACACGCGTGCAGTGACGAAAAAAAAGGAACGCAGCGTGCTGCCCAGTTGTTGTTGTTGCTGTTCACTTGTGTTCGTTGTACTTCGTACCACACATGCGTTGCACTCACGACGGCAGTTAAATACGAACTGAGTGTTTGTCGTCCAATGAATGAAACTCGAGACTGGCTCTGACGATGGCTGCCGTGTCTGTGTTGTGCTGCCACCTACGCTGTCGACGCTGGCAGCGCAGCGTGCGCTCTGCACGGAGAGTGCGAGAGCGGACGCTGTCTGTTGCGTTGCGTTAGTGTGCGTGCGCATTAATTTTCCGGTTTTGCGGCGAATTCATTGCTGAGCTACTAAAGAGAGTGAGCAGGAAGAGCGAAGTGCGCTCTGAGGCGCACTTAAGATTTCTCTTAGTTCATTTATATCAACAGTTTTTTTCGGTTATTTTTAGAATGTATTGCAAAGTTGAGTTAATAATTATTAATAAACAAATTCACCTATTAACGCAAATGCATTGCCTAAATACCTTGTGTGATAATTGACTATAATGTTGTGTCCATATGTGTGCAGTCTACTCTCAATAGTCTTGACCTACACAACAACAAAAACAACAACAGCAGCAGAAACTGAAGAATTTCAAAGTGATATTTATTGTAAGATGCTTCAATATATGTTCATATGTATGTATATTGACGGCTAACAGCAAAGCTACACGTATGTATAGGTTCTCTTGATTAACAGCAACAACCTTGAAGGCAAGTGTACAAAAGGGAGATGCCACTCACTGTCCAGTAAGAAAATGTTACGAATAGTTTTTGAGTCGTACTCGCAACCCCTGAGCCACACATCTTCACATCTTTAGCTTTATTGCACACATTTATTGCAGTTGTTATTGTTGTAGTTGCTGTTGCGCCTACAAGTGCACAGAAAAACTATGAAAACGAGCGAGCTTTTGGACACGCCCACAAAGTCGGCTATAAAGCAGCACACAGCATTGGTGTGAGCGAGCGCACAAGTTTTGCGCTCCCTACACTATGCCACCCAAAAACAAAGAAGGCTCCCACCCCCCACTCTATACTCTTCGCTTCCACATGCTCGACAAAGTGGCGCTCTTTAATGGCGCTCATTGGTGTTCTCTGCTTTGCAAATGGGGTGCAGAAAAGAGCAAAACTTTGCATAAATTTAGTGAAATGAAAGAAGAAGCAGTAGTAGCAGCAGCAAAACATAAAAAAGAATTGCAAAATGTTGCCGAAGTGCCATTGTTGCTGCTGTTGTTGCTGTGACGTCAGGCGGTAGGCGGCGCCACGAATGCATTTTTAATATTCGGCTGTTGCCTTCGTCGTTATTCGCCATGTGTGTGTGCGTATATGTGTGTGCTTGTGTGTGGGGGCTTTGACGGAGGCCCCTCTTGTTGTTGGTTGGCAGGCCTTTGGGCTTTGCTTTGCTTTGCTTTGCCTCTCCCTCCACCCATACTCACTTCTCTCATGCACACACAAGCAAAACGGTGTTATTGTTGTTGTTACTGCTGTTTTTATAACTGTTGTTGTTGTTGCTAGTGTCACGTGCGCAGTGGGCACAACAACCAATAACAAGAACTAAAACAAAGTGTTTTCCTTTGCATGCACGTACCCACATACATACCTATGTATGAGTATGTGTATGTGTGTGTGTGTGTGTGTGAAAATGAAAATGTGCGTGATTTTGTATATTTTATATGTATTACATATTTTACTGGTTTTTCGTTTTTGTCAGCCTTCTCCACTTCGTTCTTTTAGGCACACTTCGTGGCGTGCCGTGGATGCTGCTGCTCGACGCCTATTGGCTGTTCAGGTTTCCTGTTTAAATATATAAAATATAGAAAAACGAACCTCGTTAATATTTATAAACGCATGAGTTGATCCCGAATCCGATGCCGTTGCCGATGACGATGCTTCGCTTCGGCAATTCTTTTATTGGTGGAGCGCATATTTTATTCTTGTTGTTTTAGTCGGTGTTTTATTTGAAATGTCGCAGCATTTATGCATTTCCTTAGTCCCTACCATAGCCATGGCCACTCAAAAAACGGAAATGAAAGGCGTTTCCGCATTAAACTATTTCAAAGAGGCAGCAAAAAATAAAAGAAGAAAACCTTCTATTGCCATCATCCGTTGGCAGATGCCCCCCCCCTCCCCCTCCTTCGCCCAAGACTCGAAATACTTGCAAAATATTGAACCCTACAACAATATTGAAAATGTTCGCCAACAGTATGGGTGCGGGCTGCGTAGTCCTTGCTGTGAGTTGGCGAGCTGAAAACCACGTTAAAGGACATCCGCCGCCAAGTAAAAGAGTTCGAACTGCAAGTAACGAAGAGCAAAAATGTGAAAAAAAAAACTGTGACAGGAAATGGAAATAGCCACTAAAAAACGGAAAAAGAGACCCTCTTCTCCCCATGCATCAGTATGCTAGAGCTTTAAAGCAGTTTTTTCCTCCTCGAGTCCAAGTTTGTGGAGGCCACGATGGAGTGCCGGTCTCATGTGTTGAGAGTAGGCCCTGCGGAGTGGGGAGCGGACTTGCAACATTTTGTGAACTAACAACGCGGAGTTTTACAAAGTAATGTCAGCTGGAATTATATTTCTTATAATAATAGATAGATATAATGGCACGTTTTTAGTGAGTTGTTGGACAAGAATTACCACGAAAACCTTAGAACTTATTTATAACTAATAATTCACAAGATCTTTGGTCAGATCAATCCCCCTTCAATTCTAAATTATATCCCATCACAGTAATATTTCCAACTAATATTTAATCGAAGTATTCAAATAATAAAGAAGATAAACCCTCTAAACGATGTTTCAATCAAGATGTATCCTGTATTTATAGAGCTTAAGCTATGGTCAGACATGCAAATTATTCTTACGCATATTTGCATTATTTTTTCGGCCAGGCATTGCAAAGTAAATTGCTTCGAGAAGAAAACTTTACCGGAGTATAAAATTCTTATTGGTTTTAATTGGAATAATATTACATAACATGGAATAATATTTAACATCGAATACAATTTGACGAAATTGGAAGCAAATTACTTTCATTTCCAACCATACCTTTGTTGCTTAAAAACGCAGAAACTATTAAGAAGAGAAATTGCAGCATTATTTGTTTTCGGTTGGGGATACTGAGGAATCAGTCGTTTAAATGGGTGTTATGCATTAGAAAAAAATGCATTTAAAATAGTGAGCAGACAGCAAGCCGCCAAGAAAAGCAGTGGGAAGTGGAATAAAGCGTTATATATTTTATTCAGCTCTGTACATTTGTGATCATTAAACTCAACAATTGTAGTTTCTACCACCAAGTAGTAGACCAGTAAAGAGTTTCAAAGGTTTTCCAATGGGCTCCAAAAATATAGGAAGTGAGATCTCCAAAGAGATACTCGATTCAGTACTGAGCAGAGGTCTGATATTTGGCACTCTACAGAGGCCTACGGATGCCAGTAAGTGCTCTGAAAGAATAACTGTTTCAGAAGAAATCTATCTACAATATCTCTATCTGATGGTTAATTGGTATGTGAAGGAAATTAAAGATCCCAAAAGTTAAAAACCTTTGCTCGAAGCTCTTAACGATCAGATTAAAATAGCTTTGTATTGAATAATATCAATGACATGTAAGAGTGGAACAGGGAGTAAGTAAGAATATTCATTTATAGACATACTTAGATTACTGTCAAAATTCCCACACAGTTACTTTTTGAAGCACTCGCTTGAGTTTACTGGATCAACTATTCTACTCAATATTACTACTCTATCATTGTAAAACGCTTCTTTCTACAAAAGTTGACTCTCAATCGCTGAATCGAAAAATGTATGTTGTGCTAAAGTTTAATTACCTTGAAGATCTTAGAGAATGATTATTTATTGAAAAATGTATTCCGAAGATTTTAGAAATAAGAAAGGATGAAAGAAAAAAGAAATTTTCTTCGAGAAAGTCAGTTTAACTAGAAAATAATTTTTGAAATAGTAACTTCCTTTCTTTCGCTTATATTTCATGTTTATGTTATGTAAGTGCATTTTTTCTTTTCTTCTTTTACTGATTTTTATTAATATTTAAAGACAGTTGGAAATTTGTTCGATATTAGGCCTATTTCTTCCTAAAGCATTTTTAAAAACTATATTATGGATAATGGTTATGGTTAATATCTCGATTTAATATTCGAAACGTACTTTGAATTCCTTCTCAAAAACTTTCTGAGCCACATGGCCTATGACTCTAGAATTTTTCATTTAGTGTAGAGTTCTTTCTGAATTATAAATCTAATACATTTTGAACGACTACGTCAAAGCTGAAATTGTTTTTGAAATTTAACTTTTTGTTTTAAATATTGTGATTAATAGATTATAAATGCTTTTGAAAATGTGACTCTTAAGAACTTCTATGTCATTCGCAAGACGGTAAAAGAACCACTTTTCAACTATCTATCATACATAGCTTTTAATTTCTTTTCGAAATATTTACTGAGCCAATTTTGGACCGGTTCACAAATTTATTGAGCACAAGGAATTCTTAATACTTGTAGATATGAAATTTCTGAGAATAAGAATTAAATCGTTTCAAAATTGGAAACATAACTTTGAAATACTCTGTACATATATTTACAATAATTATAGAAAACAAAAAAAAATTAAGAAAATTAAAAAAATTTGATCGATTTACATAGCAATTGCGTCTGTGTGAGTGTATGTATGCCTATGCGCATATATTCGTGTCTGTGTAAACATGTTAGCAGTCAACCAAACAGCAACATCAACAGCCGCGGGCAGCGCTTGGGCAGCACTTGAGCAGCGCTGCAACAGCAGCAAATATATTTATGGCTATAACTTCTTGTTAAATCGGTCTATCATAGTGAAACTTGGCATCCAAAATACACATTTTCTGCGTATTCACATAAGGCATCTGGGACTAAAATTTGGTGTTCCTAAGTCTTATAGTCTCCGAGATATAGGCGATTATACGAATGGAAAATCGGAAAAACCCCCTATAGTTGGGAAGTGGGGGGGGGGGGGGGGGGAATCAAAAAAATAAAACAAACTGGTATAGAATACACACATAAGGCATCTTTGT